AAAAGATTTAGCCTGACACGGGGATTGTCACAGAGATTTTTGTGCCTAGTATTGTGTCTATGTCCCATTACAACTGTCAAGCAAGCACTTCAGGTCGGGATTTATATTAGAACTGACTGTTTTGTAAACCTAGGTGACACAGTAGTTTAAGTAAATGCTTTGTATAGCGAGTAGGTTTAGGTCTGAAAAGAGGGGGGGGTTGTCTAGCTGTGGAATATATCATCATTCACACTGCAGCTTTTTGATGGGTTATTATTGACTTTTGGTGATTTTTCATTGTGGAACCCAAGAAAATTGCATAGTTGTATCTCATAAATGTGAACCTGTGACCCAATCAAACTTTGTTACTATTTAACTTCATTACCTAACAGAATACTCCATTCTACTGATTACACAACAACACAGTAAATGACCATATGACCTGTCTTTGTAATACTCAGTTGTACTAAATTGTTATCTGCTTTACAATAATTTTTATACCACTGAATATATCATTGCTTAGTTAATAAGTTAATTTTAAGCTGCCCATAATGCTATGCATTCAAGTGGCTTTGGCATGTTGCATTTTACTGTATTCTTTTGTACTTCACTATCATGTTCAAATTAATAAATAAATAAATAAAAAAATAAAAAAAGAATGGGTTAGATCAGTGAATGGTATAGTGTAAGTAGTGATGTTTATGGTATATAGTAACGTATCTTGGAGATGCCAACTGTTTTAGATACTTTCAGTCTCTTTATATCATGCATCAAGCTCTAAAACTGTATGGGGTCCAAAGAAACTGCTTCCCCTTGAGGACAGCTAACGTGAATAAAGTTATTAATATTATTAACAATAAGTGGGTGGGTAGAGGAAGGGAAGGTCGCCTCACCTCTCCCGCTGCCGCTCCAACTCGAAGCCAATTTCCTCAGTCATGGTGGAGTGTGAGTTGGCTCGCACGTGCCCTGACTTGCATCAGCTGCTGCTGCTTCTGCTGCTGTACATCCTCAGCAGTCAGTGTTATACCTCAGCTGCTGCTGCTGCTGCTGTTGTTGCTGCTTCCTTCCTCCCGCTGTCTTCTTTCCTTTACTTTGCTACGTCTCACATTACCTCTATAAACATCTATCTTAATTTATATTACACTACATCACCTAGATTACAAATATTTTACTATATTTCTTAATAACTATATTATATACCTTTTTTAATGTTATTTTAATATATATATATATATATGATATATCCTGACTGAGGAAGATTATTTTTAAGCTAAGAGAACGTTGTTTATCTGGTCTGATAACACTATAAAAACGCAATATAAGTATGACATTAAACTTACGGAAAAATCATAAACGTCAAAATCAATTATAAATTAAGTTGTTAGTGTAGTTTAACATTATTATTGATTGATAAAATGCACTCATATATGACAAGCATATCTAAAATTGTTGTAGACAAGGACTCAAATGATAATAGTCATTTATCTGACTTTTTTTTTTTGGGGGGGGGGGGGGTTATCCTAGGTAACTTACAGCACAAGTGTTACTTTGTACGACAATGATTTTATTATTATAATCAAGGGGAAGCGCTAAACCCGGAGGATCATACAGCGCCTGAGGGGGGGGGGATGTGGCTAACGCGACGGGCTGGAGTTTTGAGACTATGACCGCGGGTTCAATCCCGGCCGGGGGTATGGTTTATTCAGGCTTAATTCGGGGAACTGGAGCACAGATCCAATTCCCTAAATCAAGAGCCCCTCACCAACATCAAGGAACCTTCCTTGAGGGGTACGACAATGATAACCATTAAAGATTTTGTATTTGTACCTAAATAAAATGACTTAATATGTACATATTTCTCGTGTCTCACTAAGCATTATTTATTATTATTATTATTGTTGTTGTTGTTGTATTATTAATATTATTTTAGGCCAAATCATTGGCAATTGTATGACAGTGGGGAACCCACACGCCATTTAATGAACCACTACCATTGTACTTTTATTTTTTCCAAGCTTACTCTCGTTTATTTCAATTATACTTCCTTGAGTATCAGTAGCTTCTTGTTCATACATACAATTTAAAACTAAATCACAGAAATTATCCTAATCATTATAACATGAGCCAATGTTTTCCTCGAGGGTAAACTGCCTCAAATGTTAGTAAGTTTTTTAAGGCACAGGTCCACATAAGTACAATTATCATACACAATGTATTATTATTATTATTATAATCAAGGGGGAAGCGCTAAACCCGGAGGATTATACAGCACCTGGGGGGGGATGTGGAAGGCATTCAGGCTTAATTCGGGGAACTGGAGCACAGATCCAATTCCCTAAATCAAGAGCCCCTCACCAACATCAAGGAACCTTCCTTGAGGGGCATACACAGTGTAAATCACCTAGGATAACTCCCAGAAAAGTCAGACTTATTTCCATTGGGGTTTTTCGGAAACTCGTTAATGAGCAATACAATGCTCATAATTAAGCGCTAAACCCACTAGTTTTATAATGAGCAATGGATTCTCACTGTTAGTTATTATTATAATCAGAACTAAGCACTAAAGCTATAAGGGGTCATACAGCACTGTCTCACTGGAGGTAATGTAAGGCTTTCCAATTATGTATTATCATTTAGAACAGTAGGTCTTCTTTACACACATTTTCTGGTTCTTTCTCTGTCGCACCTACAATGGGCATTTTGTATATTAAATACTCATTGTTTACCGCAATTACCATAGCTTCTTGAAGTAGGAATTACTCAAGTCTTGTTAAAATAGTTCCAGTGTGCGTTCAACTTATTCAGTTAAGTTCAAATTTTGTCATGGAAAGTAAATTCACATATTATACTGGGAAGACACGACTTGTTTGCAGGTAGTTTTTGAACTGGGTTACATAGGGTCGCCTGGTAATTGCTTGTTTATAGTTGCAGGGGGTTGAATCTCGGCTCCTGGCCCAGCCTCTCCTCTGGCCGCTACTGGGCTTACTCCACTCCACTGGTGAACCCTATTATACCTATTATTAAATTGTCGTTATATTTAGTGGGAGGCACTCAACCCATAAGGGTCATACAGCATTTAGGGGAGTGGGAGGTAATCAGATTTAATCCAAGGAAGCGAGAGGGCAGTTCCAGTTTCTATTTAAGCTATGCATGGCTCCTGCTTCTACCACTGGTCACTCGACCAGTGATTAAACACTCACCGTGGTTGGTCTTGTGGGTCACATAACCAAATACTGGTGCAAGGGTCAGTCGCATGACCCAGTGACCCAAGGATAGATTGCAGGAAAAGTGTGTCAAGATTTAATTTCAAAGGGTAAAACTGAGGCTTTTAACAAATACAGTAATTCGCATAACAGCTCAATATGTTTCCCATGTTATGGATGTTTTTTTTATTTATTAACACATCGGCTGTCTCCCACAAAGGCAGGGTGGCCTGAAAAAGAAAAACTTTCGTCATCATTCACTCCATCACTGTCTTGCCAGAGACACTCTTGTACTAGTTATAAAACTGCAATGTTAACACCCCTCCTTCAGAGTGTAGACACTGTACTTCCCATCTCCAAGACTCAAGTCCAGCCTTCTGGTTTCCCTGACTCTTCATAAATGTTACCTTGCTCACACTCCAACAGTACATCAAGTCCTAAAAACCACTTGTCTCCATTTGCTCCTATCTAACATGCTCACACTTTCATTTCCAACAAAGCGGGGTAGGAGTCGGCCTCCTAGGCCAATCCCTACCCCGCATTCTCTCCATTACAGATTTATACACTCAATCTATTTCGTTCCATCCTCTCTACATGTCCAAACCACCTCAACAACCCCTCCTCAGCCCTCTGGATAATAGTTTTGGTAATCCCACACCTCCTAATTTCCAAACTACAAATTCTCTGCATTAGTATATTCACACCACACATTGCCCTCAGACATGACATCTCCACTGCCTCCAGCCTTCTCCTCGTTGCAACATTCACCCCTCATGCTTCACACCCATATAAGAACGTTGGTATAACTATACTCTCGTACATTCCCCCTCAGATGTGTTCTTTACAAGTTCTTTGTCCATCTCCACACTATCCTTTTTAATATCAACTAACTCTAATAATGTTTTCTGCATGAGTTGTAGAGAACTGTTTTTATTTCACTCTTTAATTGTTTATTTTCCTTATTCAGTTTGTCAAAGTCTTTCCTGCCTTACTTGGGTTTGTTTCAGTTTCACTGATATATCAGTCAAACCATCCATTTTCTCTTTACTAGTGTTATTTAGTGTTTGGGTATGTCCATGCTTTGACCTACTACTGTCAACCATTTTGTAATGAAAGGCTCTTCTAATGTTTAGCTTTACTTCTGCCAATGTTTAAAATTTTACCTTAAAATCTGCATAAAATCCCTTTAACTTAGTCTTTTTACATGTTATGTATATCACAAAATATATATTGCTATATTTCCTTCAAAACAAGAGGTAGAAATCAGCCCATGGTTGTATTGATAAAGCCACTGGTTGGCGAAATATCTACAAATAAAAATCCCCAGATGTTGCACGTGTCTAATTCTTAAAGCAGAAATCACCCTTTATTCTCTCAGTAGACAATGTGTGTTTCCACCATGACTATGACTGGATGTGTGTGTCATTCATCTCTGCATAACCAAGAGGTGCTAATTTTTGATGGCAGAAGTATGAGGGTGAGTGCAAGTGCAATATATCAAGTTTTAGCTAAGAAAGTTATATAGTAGTCTGCACTTGGATCATGACAGGATCACTGAGTAATAATAATAATAATATTCTCATATGATAATTGCCACAAATTTATTAATGAAAAGTTGCAATGAGTTTAATAGTATGACACAGTTATGTATTAATCATTTCTACATTTCAGGCACTGCTATGGAACCATCTCTGATCAATTGAAGCATCAGATTTTTTGTTATATAAAATTTACTGCATGAAAACCTGCTCCAATGCAAACAAGTGTAATATGCACATGTACAAACTTAAAAAAAAAGTATACAAGAAAAATAAAATACTTTCATATGAATTTTATTCAGAGAAATTATACACTAGTTTAAACAGGACAAAGTGAAACTCAAAAGTAAAAGAATTGCCCCCAAATAGACATTTATTTGGCTTCTCCAGGAACCAAGTTACTGTACAATTGGTCAGCCAAAACTAGCCCAGAGTAGTTTAGAAAAGTGTAAAATACAAGAGACGAAGACTGCAACTGAGAGCAAGTTATTACATGCTACACTATGAGCAAACCAGGTATTCACAATGATTTTATAGAGCCAACACCATTCTTACTCTAAAACAAGATTTCTTCTTGAAGAGTCAACTGAAACTGAAGTAAAAAAAAAATTCAAGGCAAAGAACTGAATTATAAGTATGTGAAAATTTAAAACTGACAATACCTGTATGTTACACACAAGACATCTAAAAATCTGAATGCAGCTTATTCAAACACACAAATTAGTGATTATAGTACATTCACTGTAACTTATTCATTAGCTGCTTATGAAGGAGAGCATAGACATCACTATTTAAATGATGCACCGAAATGCACCCCTCATCCATCAGAGTGCAGGCACTGCACTTCCCACCTCCTTAACAAAATGTTCAACTTTCTGTGAATTTATTTATAAATATTATCCTGCTCACATTCTAACAATAATTCAAACATGCTCGCACACATCTGCTGGATGCTCAAGCCCCTATCTCTCAAAACCACCTTTGTACCAACCTTCCATTTTTTATATACATACTGTATTAGAAATCAGCCATTTCCCCATCAAGGCAGTGACACATCTGCCTTGTTACAAGTAAGGAAGATAAGAATACAGATTTCTAGAAAGAAAAATAACTGAACTCGTCAAATAAGTTATCAGGGCAAAGAAGAGAAGGCTAGATTGAAAAAAAAAATCTTAAGAAAAAAAAAAAACGAAATCTGAGGCAAACAAATTTATCATTTTTATATACTACGTACAAATATACACAAATAATCTCCAAAAAACTAAAGTTAAGGGACATTATAAAAGAGAAGAAACCTGATGCACTGAGTCTAACTGCAAAAATCTACAGCAGCATTCATGGAAAATTATTTTCAAGAAGAGCAAAAATAGTAGAGAAATGAATATTATAAATATTGGTAAAAGAGACACTGCAAGTTACAGAAATTAAAGCAAAAAGTTCAAGTACAATAATATCAAGATTTTAGTGGCAGAACTCCAAAGTTAAGCTATAAAAACTCCCAATAATAAATGCATTAAAACCCACTGTTAAACACCACAAAGAAGAGAGAAGAATTTGAAAAGATAAATGAGGAGCTGCACTTTAGTAAAAATTGAATGTGAAAAGGTAAAATCAATTGTAAACAGGGATTTTGGCCATCAAGAAATAGACTGGGCTGCCTTAGAGGTTGGAGTTGTAAACAGTCAGCCAAATTTCTAAAAGTAATGACATGTTTTATATGCAGGTGCTGACATTTTAAAAGTGATACAGTCAGAGAAAGCAACATACAGTCATTACTACAATTAGTATCTGCCAGAAAAGAGGAAGAAATTCTTAAAACAAATTACTTGAAGACATTTTGGAAAGAAACAATCTTGTTTTATTGGAAAGACCTTATGCTACTAAATATTCAGAGGCAAAAGACAAACAGGAATGACTAGATTATCAGAAAAAAAATATTGTGATATTTACAGTTTTTCTAAGACACAAATAGAACAAGATACTATAAGAGCAGAAATATTTATATTACACAGACTTCAGCAACATATGAAAAAGTAAACTGAACAGTTAATTCAAAAGCAAAAAAAAAATGATAACACAGTAAAGAATGGTTTAACAGGTGCTCAAAAGTTTTATATAAAAAAAAAAAGGGGAGAGAGAAATGCCGTGGGATCTATGAATGAAGTATGCCAATCTAGAGATTGTAATTTATATAAATGACTTACTGTACTAAAAGAAATATAAATTATTTCACTGCAGATTATTCACTCATCCAAGAAAATCTGATAATAAAAATAAATACATTTCTACAAAAAGACAACAAATTTAGAAAATGGAGTGAATGATGGATGACAGAATTTGAAAGATAAATGCCATATAAAAGAAACTGCAAAAGGACTTTGATAGGCTACAAGGATGATTGAGGAAATACCATAGCTAACTAAAAGATAAACCCTAGCAAATGAAAAAAAAAAAAAAAAAACTTTTGTTGTAAGGTACATTTCTGTCCTAGACCCCATCTCAATCTGTGGGCACCCTGAAGGCCCTCAGAAGAAAATTGCTTCTGGTTGAAAGGAAGACTTCAGTGACACAGGCCCCACAGATTCAGGTGGGCCCATGAATTCAGGTGGCCTTACAGATTTAGGTAATGGTAATGATACTAAGTATGTCCCCAAAGAAAACATAAGCAGAATAATATCAACAGCAAATGTTAGGCTGGTATGACAACCAAAATGGTTGCTTTCAGTAATTTAAATGAAGATTCTATCAAAGAAACTAGAGAAAGTTCAAAGGTGTGCATCCAGAAGAGTGTCAGAGCTGAGAAGATTGAGCCAAGAAATTGCATGAGCCAGCTTGTCTTGGAGTGCAAGACAGGTGGTATAATAATGACCTATAAATTACTCTGGGAATAGTCACAGCTGCAAGGTCTGACTTCTTACTATAGAATGATTCAGAATATGGGGACAAGACTACAAACTGAACACCCAACTGAGAAAGAGATGTCATGAAACCCAATGCCTGACAGAAAAGACTCTACATTGAATAAGAGCTTGACACCTCAAAGGCATTAACTAATATTGTATTAACTAAGTATCTAATGGTGTTGGACATGAATAAATATATAAATGAGGTTGTGTTCAAGGTGTCACAATTGCCACTTACAGCAAATTGAGTAATGAACAGGGTTATCTTAGTTAAAGAGCTGTTTGCCAAGTTTTTTGTACCATATTGGCCTTTTCCCACCAAGAGAGCATGACAAGAAACAGCAAATGTGGTAAAAACAAATTAGTTAAGTAACTTGACTACATCAAATATTTCATGAAGTGCACAATAAGAAAAGGTGGCATACACTAATAACACATTACATCTAAGAAATAAATCATTAGTTATTCCAAGTACTTGATGCAAATATATACAAATACATATCAATGTAGCATGAAAATATGAAATATGCTTTATATACAGATGATTAATGAGGCCTGAGAAAATTCATTCTATTGTTAATAAGGTGTATAATTTCAAAGAAAATTATTAAACTGAAGTTATTATGCTTTTAATAAGAGAAGTGTCTCCAATAACAAAGAAATCTAACAAAACTTAGTGCACAATGTACACTTCATATGCACCAAACTGTATATTACAAATAAATACAGCACTGTAATACAATACATGCAATTAAACTTACATGTAAATAAACTGCTTCTTCAAAATATTAAAAGAATGTTTCTCAAATGATACATTGCCTTTGACAATACAATACCAACATCTGGAGTGCAATTCAAACATTCAAAACAAACGCCAATAGTCGAGTTTTGATTATCCAAAACAGTGACTAAATGAGAATTGATTAACCAAGTTGGTTGTGACTTCAAAGCTTGAGCTGCAATTTGCACTTTGCCCATTTTAACACAGGTTGGTGCAATTTTCAAACTTTATCCTTCCAAATTCTTCCCTCCAGACTAGCATTGTCATTTTTTTTTTTATTAGAAAAAATTAATTTTAGTTATGTTACACTGTATGGATACATTAGTTATAAAAATATAAAGCACAGGAAACTTGAATACCTGTATACAATATGTTTATATGATGTAGGTTTGTGTGTGCAGGATGTATATGATGGTCAGGATGTGGGGAAAATACAGATATAGTAACTATAGTATATACTGTGTGCTGATGAACAAGGAGTGTGCACGTACAAGATAATGCTCATACTGTACAATGTATTGTACATTTTCACACAGAGTCATTCACATAAACCAACAGTATATGCACATACTCTCTTAAATACGTACATACATTTTACATTTATTCTACAGATACAATTTTTAAAATACTGACTTTCCCACCTAAGCAGGGTGATCCAAAGAAGGAAATACATTCACCATCACTCATTCTCGAGCATAATACATTGCAATATATGAAATACCAAGATTAAAATTTACTGAACCTTTTTTTTTTGAGGCAAAGACTTTGGATAATCAATACTCGACAGTATACCATGGGATCACATGTATAAACAAGAAGGTAATCCCTTGGTTGCTACTAAAACCTTTGTGTTTGTAGAAGTTAATCCCTCGGTTGCTGCTAAAACCTTTGTGACTGTAGAAGTTACTGAATCTATCTTGTTATTTATCTAGCAGTATAACAGCAGAAATATAAAGTGAGTAAAGTGTTGAAAAATAATACCGAGATTCTAGTACATACTACATGTGGGGGCTAACTATAATGTTCCTGAAGTGCACACACACATTTAAAAAAAAAATATTAAAACAAAATTCCTTTGTGCACTGTAAACTCTTATATAAAAATCACATTTGGTAACCAATTTAGCTTTATACATGGGTAAATGGGAGAGACATCATCATGCCCTGGCAGAACAATAAGTCCATATTTCAGGGAAAAAAAGATTACTTCTGGATGTATGGTATATAACATACTAACCATTCTGGTATGCTCTTGACTCTCTTGCTTGACAACTAAGTCAAACTTATTAACCCAATTCCTCACAAGGAGGATACATGAGTTTCTAAGGCATGACGTTACGTGTATGTATTATACAGTGGACCCCCGGTTTACGATATTATTTCATTCCAGAAGTATGTTCAGGTGCCATTACTGAACGAATTTGTTCCCATAAGGAATATTGTGAATTAGATTAGTCCATTTCAGACCCCCAAACATACACGTACAAACGCATTTACATAAATACACTTATAAATTGGTTGCATTGGGAGTTGATCGTAAACCGGGGGTCCACTGTATATCTTACGAATGAGAAATGGGCTGAATGATAAAAATTTTAGTTGCTATTCTCTTCCTATACATAATACACAGAAATGTAAAAAAATGCTGTCCAGATAATGGATAATTTTTTAGTAAATGTAGTGCAAATCATATTTTTTTAATGAGAATTATTCACAAATTTTAAATGTTTGATGATATGTTTTAAATGTATATAAAATCCAGAATGACTACAAATCATAACATACTATGCCACTCTTCTGTTATATGACCCACATAATTTCAGCATCTCATAAAATAATATAAACTAGACTGTTTTAGGTGTTAATGATCTTGAATCACTAATCCAAGAACAGTATCCCAACTTACCAGATTTGTATCCATTGTAATGCATCAATATCTTATGATAAAGGCTCAGGTATAACTTAAATTTAAGAATCCCTTTTATGAGTGCAAGCCTCACATATAATAAAAATTACTGCCTGCAAAGCTGTATTATCTTGTTTTATGTCCCCATCTACTGTATGTAAGTGTTCCTAAATATTAATAACACATTTTTCTTTTCAAACATTTAGCTACAGTAACTTGTTTAATGTTTAAAAGTCACATTTTGCCAATAACAACATTAATTATACACAATTTTTTAAAGAACTGTACAGTACTCCTGAACTGAAATATTGAAAGAAGCTTTACCAAAGTTCTGGAATTAACAACTCTTCAATAAACTATTCAACAAATTTAAAAAAAAAAATAACACATCAAACACAGAAGTTTATTTTTTCTCCATATGTTGGCTGAACAGGCATAATTTTTTTATTCTATTAACAACCATCTCTTAGAAGCTGGGATTTCATAAAATGAACTTAAGCTGAGATTTTTATTTCGATGGGAAAGAGAGGGAAGAGAGAAGAAAGGGTAAATAAGCAACGATGAGGAAATATAGAAGCAAAAGCAGCAGCCGAAAGCTCATACCTTAATAAAACATGAGATCATTTTCAATTTACTGTACATTAGGATAACACTACAATATCTTTCCTAATTCCTTGCCTGGCTTATAATTATTGTGTGCCACTTCAGTTTTGCAGCCCAATAAAATACTGTACACAAGCTCTGAATAATTTTTATCCCCCCCTGAAATAACCTGTGACAAGTTTAGATGAAGGTATCTTTCTCCCTGGTTAATCACAAAACAAAGAAATATTTAGTTGCAAAAAAATCATATTTTTTTTTTTGCACTGAATAACCAACCAACTACTTGCGTAGACCAGTTACTCATCAGCATTAGCACGAACAGGGCCATGTTCTTCTTCCCATTCTCTCAGGACGCCATCCAAGTTGTAACGTTTTCGATATGTTACGAAGAAGCTGCGTACATGATTTTCAGTTTTATTGCCCACTATTTCTGCAATTGCTTTAAAGTCTTTCCCAAAATAACGAACAGCTGAAAAAATAGAAAAAATAAATTAAGAAGCAAGCACATGAAATACAGTACTATTTAAATTCTTTGATTAAGTGTTTAATATGTATGTATGTATGTATGTATGTATGTATGTATGTATGTGTGTGTGTGTGTGTGTGTGTGTGTGTGTGTGTGTGTGTGTGTGTGTGTGTGTGTGTGTGTGTGTGTGTGTGATTACTTTTTTATAGTTACAGGATCAAAATTATGCTCAGAGTGCATGACTGATCACCAATTTGTAAATAGATTGAACATTAAAATGGTATAAAATACCGACAGGTTGTTAGGTAAGACACATATGCAACAGTTAGGTATCTTTATTTTGAAACGTTTCGCCTACACAGTAGGCTTCTTCAGTCGAGTACAGAAAAGTTGATAGAAGCAGAAGAGACTTGAAAACGATGTAATCAGTCCATCACCCTTAAAGATTTGAGGTGGTCAGTCCCTCAGTCTGGAGAAGAGCATTGTTCCAAAGTCTGTGTAGGCGAAACGTTTCAAAATAAAGATACCTAACTGTTGCATATGTGTCTTACCTAACAATTTGTAAATAACAAAAAGGCACAATACCGTGACTGGAATGATACACAAATAACCCGCACATCAAAGAGAGAAGCTTACGACGACGTTTCTTGAACCATTTACAAAATCACTTTGTAAATGGTCCAAGTCGGACCGAAACGTTGTCGTAAGCTTCTCTCTTTTATGTGCAGGTTATTTGTACACCTATTTGTACTTGCATGAGCCATGCTATGCTCACTGCAAGAGTACCTTACTGTGTCACTTTCAATACCTCATTTTGGATATCATTGTAGGTATTTGTCACTTTTGTAAAGAAATACTTTCTAATATATTTTATGATGGAGTGAATGACGATGGCAGTTTTTCTTTTTCAGGCCACCCTGCCTTAGTGGAAAACGGCCAATGTGTTAATAAAAAGAAATATATATATATTTTATGATCTCTTTGTTGAGGGTGCCAAGAAAATTTCCTTACCAATTTTTTCTATCCTTTTAGGAACTTATTTGTGGTTATTCTAATTCTTTTTTTTCTCTATCAAAATGCATATTTCCTAGCCCTTTAAATGAGTTACCTGAGTAACCACTATTATCTTGTCTAGTTTTAATTAGTTACCATGTACTAGGATTGGTATGCCCGAAATGCCCCAGCATGATAGTGGCTGTCTTTGTACTTAGCAAACCAAAACTGTAATTGCACACTGTAACCTTTACAAAGAAATAAATCTTTATCTTTTACAGTAAATTTTTTTTTTATATAAACAGAAGCTGTTTAATTTTAGTCCATGACATTTAAAAAAGTTGCCCTATCATTAGGCACTTCATGTATTTGCTGACACTAAAGTAACATCAGCATAAACACTGGTTTAAACTGGAATTAAAGTTCTCCCTCCACCATTATCTGCTTGACATTGTACATTCCTTTACATCTTAACCAAGTTATCACTACATTTCTCTTACTATCATTGGCACTGATTTCAGTCATTGGTAAGCCTTCAGTTACATACTAAACAATAATTTGAATACAACAATGGTGTGCCTTGTCAAGTATTTACCAGTCACCCATTCAGTGGACATAGCAAGCCTTCCACCATTCTTTGCACTCACTGACTCATACTGAGTTACAGCTTAATTTTTTTACCTCATCGGCCAACTCCCATCAAGACAGGGAGATAAAAAAAAAAACACATTCATCATCATTAAATCAATTGGAATATTTTCAAGTGTGTTGACATCATAATTCAGATGTCTCTCCAAGAAAAATATACCCAGCCGTTCTTTAGAGTGCAGGCCATGTCCTTCCTGTCTTCAAGACTCAACTCCAACTAATCTGTTTCCTTAAATCCATTCATATAGTATGTTACTCTGCATACACTTCAACAACAAGTTAAACATTTAAAACCACTTATCCCCACTTGCTCCAATCTTGCATGCTCACTCAGACCTGCTGGATGCTCAAGCCCCTAAGCACTCAAAACCTCCTTTACCCCATCCTTTCAACGGTTCCTAGGACAACCCCCAATATTCCTGCCTTCAAATCCCAGATTTAAACACCTCGCTGCAATGCTCAAAGCCCATGCCTCATACTCATATAAATATGTTGTTACTGCTATACTTTGGTACATTCCCTTTTGCCTTCATACAAAACCTTTCTAGAATTCTGCAGATCCCTCAACACACTACCAATCTTTTATCTCCCCTTTATCTATATACTCTATAACTCACCTAACTATTTTTTTAGGCCCATCTGCTTACATGTCCACTCCCAAATATATCAATACGTACATCTATTTTTCCACACTACCTCCTCCAATCTGATAACCAATCTTTCAATGCCTAGACTTTTTTTTTTGTTGCCCTTATCATTCTGCTCTTTTATATGTTCACTTTTAAATTCTCTTTTACATACCCTCCTAAATTCATCCACCAATATTTGAAATTTATCATCAGAATCTCCCAAAAGAACTGAGTCATCAGCAAAGAGCTTCTGTAACAACTCCCACTTCATATCACAGTCATCATCTTGTAATCCTGCACTTCTTCCCAACACCCTATATCTCACCTCTTTTACAAACTCACCTATAAACATGTTAAACAATCAAGGTAACAACATGCATCTTAAAGTCCCTTAACCAGGAGATAGTTCTTTCCTCTCTCTTACATGCCCTAACATGAATCTCATTCTCTATATAAAAATTTTCTATCACCTATTCCATACATATGCAATTTCTGTTGCATTGCTGTTCTTATTCATCCTATCATTTAAATATAATAATGGGATTAAGAGTCACTATTACAAACTAAGATGGGGTACATAGGTCCATCCTACTGGGCAAGAATTTAGTGAACAAACTAAGTTTCTGTGACAGTCAGCATGAACATGAATTACTAATTATCCAAAACACAATTTCTTACCATGCAGTAGTAAATGCAGTTCATAGCATCCCCCAATGTATTATGTAAAGCAACAAAATATTATTCATGCCCAGTGACAGCTCGTCAAAAAACAGAATGGGGTGGGGGGGGGTTAGATTGCGTGACTGCAGCTCCTCACTGCCAGATGTAACGCCAGTAATACCTATACTATTGTACTACATCAAACTTCTATTTTTAATCATTTTTTATCTCGTCTGAACAAAAAAATAAAAAATACCCTTATAAATACATTGAAAACAACATACAACAGATTTTTCCTGTAATATATTTGTCAGTTGCAAATTATTTAAGCATAAGGTTGATGAAGTTATACATCTGGCAGTGAGCATCTGGGTGGACTGCAGCTCTGCAGCTCCTATGGATGAGCCGCCACTATTTATGCCACTTACCTTGTACTGCCAAAAGAAGTTCCTCTTGGGACCACTTAGCCTTGGGAGGTCCTGCCTGTGCTGGTGGACGGTACGGAGTTATTCCATCGTCTGCTATTTTACTTCGCACACTGCTGATCTGTGCTTTGTTGCTTTGCACCTGAAATGAGAAAAAAATAAAGCATTGGATTACATAATTTAGTTATTTGAAAATTCTCTAAACTGAGTCTGGTTTAGTGTGTGTGTGAAAGATGGTTAAAGAGTATGGTCACTTGAGTAATCAGTGTTTGAGAGATGGTACAATAAAAAGTACTGTCATTGGATTAATCAGTCTTTGAGAAATAGTACAATAAAGAGTATAGTCACTGGATTAATCAGTCTTTGAGAGATGGTACAATAAAGAGTATGGTCACTGAGTTAATCAGTCTTTGAGATGGTACAATAAGAACATAGTGACTCCCTCTAGATACAAACAGGAACACTTGAAATATTCCATTAACAAAAAGATTATTAACCCTTTTAGGGTCGACAGGCCCTCTCAGAGACTTGTTCTCAGGGTCACCCAAATTTCAAAAAAAAAAAAAAAAAAAAAAAAAAAAATTTTCTTATGAAAAGATAGAGAATCTTTTCCCAATCATAATGACACCAAAAGTATGAAATTTTATGGAAAAGTTACGGAATTATGCTCTCACGAAGTTAGCAGTCTTGACGATGTTTACGCATCGGCGATTTTCCCCCAATTGAGCCCTATTTGGGGCCAATTCCAGTATAATCGCCCAAAAATCATGAATATTTCGCTAGAATTTTCCATTTTTTTTATCAAATGAGTGAAGAAAACCACCCTTACCGATTTCAACTACCCAAATACAGTGGTCAAAATTTAGGAATTTTGCCAATTTCACACAAATTTAAAAAAGATGCCAATTTCCAAATAGGGGCGAGAAAAACAAAAAAGACATTCCTGGCCAAAAAATGACATTTCCTTGTTCTTTGTCCGTCCCCCAACCCCTCTTATTTTCTTTGGTTTTCCCGCTTTGAATTTTTATTCTCAAAAAAAATAGAAGATTTGCATTATGCAGACTACGCATTATGTAAAAAATGGTATAAATAATATCGGAACTTGTGATGAATACAGTGGCCCCCCCGCTAACGATGGCATCACATAGCGATTATTTCGCTACCGCTTACTTTAATCGCAAAATTTTTGCCGGCATACCGATTAAAAACCCCCCCTCCCCGATTTTCGTCCGAGACGGCCCAAGTGCGCCCCTCAGAGCCTAATGTCCCGCCCGGCCATTGTTTCCACCCAGCCCCCCCGCGGTAAACCAAGCATACACTCGGAATATTTCGTATTATTACAGTTTTTTTCGGTGCGTTTCTGGAAAATAAATGACCCTGGGCCCCCAAAAAGCTTCTAGTGCCAACCCTACACCAATAAGGGGGAATTTCTATGAAATGAAGAAAGGTCATTGATAAGTTTAAATGGGGTGCGAATACCGACCTAGTCAAGTGTACAAGAAACCCCCCAAACAAAACCCTCGCTACATTTTGGGCACCCCGAAAGACAATCAAGGAAATGTTCTTGCCAAAAAGGGTTTAAATGTGTTTTCGAAACAAAGATCGCAAGTGATGGAAAGATTTGAAGATCTTATTGGTGGGATAAATGAAAAAAAAATAGGAGGAGTAGCGTCTCTCAAGCGATCTAGTGAAAAGGCTAGGGAATTCATGAGGATTTAATTAAAAAAATGCCCCGCAAAAAAATGATGGTGAGTGAAAAAAAGGCCCCGCCAAAGGTTGGTTTGGAGAGATTTAAGAAGCGTAGTGGATCCTGTGTGAAAGGCTGGTGAGGGGTGCCAGTTCGGAAACCCCAAAAGGGCTGAAAAATATGTGCAGGGAAATTTAAGGAGTAATAGAAATGAAGGACTGAAAACTGAAAAAGTTTTAATTGTGATAAACGGCCTGTTTTTGGGAAGAAAAAATGCCAAGCAGGACCTACATTTCTCGGAGGAAAGGCACTCCCGGACATAAGCCTTGAAAGACAGGGGTTACTTTTCATGTGTGCCCCAAAGCTAGGGGATTGCAAAGTGAAGCCTTTATTAGTGTTCACTCTGAAACTCCCCAAACGTTCAGGGGAAAAGAATGTCCTCAAGGTAAATTTTTGTGTGCTGTGGGGGCAAACGTAAGGCTTGGGGCACTAGGGAATTTTTCTATAATGGTTACACCATGCATTTCCCCCCCAAGGGAAAAGATTACCTAATGAAAAGAAATTAGAACTTAAGTGCCTCCTGGTGTTAGACAAGCCCCCTGGTCATCCTACAGACGTGGCAGAGCGACTTTATGGGGACATAGCTTCATTGGGTGAGTTTTTCCCTCCTAATCCACTCCTCCCTGAGCCATGGACCAGCGGGTTTTTTCCAACTTCAAGAAACTGTACACAAAAGCTCTGTTTGAAAGGTGCTTTGTAGTGACCCAGAAACTCAAAGCTTAAGGAGTTTTGGAGAATCACTTTAATATTCAATTGTGTAAACCTTTAGGTAAGGCTTGGGGGGAAGTGACTAAGGGCCCCTTAAACTCTGTTTGGGAAAAAGAAACTGTGGCCAAAAAGTGTAGAAAAAAGGGTTTTAAAGGGGTTTTTGAGGCTAACCCTGAGATGATTTGCCATTTGAGGAACCCATTGTGGCATGGGAAAGTCCTTGGGGTTGGGGGTTTAGTGGGGAGGATGTGGAAGAGTTGGTGGGGAGGACAATAAAAACAAACCCACTGATGAGCTGATAGAAAATTTTCAAGAGCAAAGGCCAGACCTGGGGAAACTGGTTCAGGGGGGGGAGAGAGAAATTAAAGAAGTTCCCCTACTCAAAGTTTAAAGGAAATCTGTGCAAGTGGCTTGAAGGAAAACCCCTTCTGGAGAAAATCACCCTCACACAGCTTTGCAAGCCGTGCTGGTGATTATTACATGACAATGTTTTTGAAAAATTTTTTGGCAATCTAAAGGAACGAGAGGTACAGGCCACTAGGACAGATATTTGTGCGAAGAAGTCCAGTGACTTGAAGCTGGCCTAGGGGCATTAAAGAAGAAGGGAAATAAAACCCCCGAAAAGGACTTGCTACCTCAAGTCCTAAGGAAGGGGTTTCCCCCTTTAAAAAGTAAAAGATAATCTTTCCCCCCCTCCCTCCCTTTTAATCATCACCAATCTTAATAAAAGTAAGGTCATGTAAGTGTGCTGCCTTTTTCGTTTGTGTGTTTAAAATTAACATTTCATGTGGTAAAAAAAAAAAATTTTTTTCATACTTTTGGGGGTTTGCAGGATTAATTTTTTTTCCATTTTCTTATGGGAAAATTATTACATAACGATTATTTCGCATAACAATTACCCCCCTTCACGGATTAAAAAACTTAACCGGGGTCCCTTTAAATTTGATTCAGTTGACGTGTATTAGACGCTTAGCATGATTTTTTTACTTTTGAACTTGGTAAAAAAACGAACATTTTGCTACTTTGAGTCAAATTTTAAGGTACTTTTCATGGTAAAATCAGTCAAAACATCTTCCCTTCTATACAATAGACCAGGAAAACTAGAATACAACAATAAATACCATACGAAAATACAGTGGAAAGTTGCTGTTTTAATCCAAAAACACGGTCAGTTTTTTTTTCTCATTACGCACTGTGTGCTGCAGGATTTTTTTTATACTGCGCACACTGACCACATAGACCCATTCTTTCATATGTAGGCCTACCAGCTTTCTCTCACTAGATTTGAGGGCGCTAGAATTTAGGCGTACTAGTACGTCAAAAACCCTGGTGCCTAAGCTGTACTAGTACGGCCGAAACCCTGAAAGAGTTAAATGTTGTACTTTCTTCACACATGATCCAATCACACATCTTCGAAAACTACACGAGATGAAAAAAACTGACCTGGCGTTTAAGAGCGATGACCTCATTCTCCATGTGACGCAGCAGCTGTTGGCCAGGGGTGAGTGTTCCAGGGGGACCAGGAGGACCAGACGATACCATAGCCATCAAATCCTGAACATAATGAAAATAAAAACCTGCACACAAGTTGCTTAATAAATAATGGAATGGGCATGGGTTTGAACCCATGGCCAGCGAGTCCAAAGAATCACAAGCCAGTGCATTAATCACTCGGCCAGCTGGCTAGATAAATAAGGTCATAAAAAAGAAATACAGTGAACTGTGTTGTGGGTAACTTTAAAAAATAGGTTTGACAAGTAAGTGAGTGGGTGTGGGTGGGTGTGAGTTGGACTTGCCTAGTATGAGCCAGTAGGCCTGCAGCACTCTCCTACTGTCTTATGTTTTTATGAATGGGTTTCAGTCTTAATGCACATCATTTTAAATATGTAAAAAAGAGTCCTGCATGTTCAGTCTTCCTTTTTTCTTCAAGATGGGGAAGAGTAGTGGGTGAGGAGATTGTCTTTATCTAGGGAACTGAAGCTATTCTTTCCTTCCTTGGATCAAACCTATTACCTCTCAATCCTATGGCACTGTATAACCCTTTAGGGTTTAGCAGTTCCCTATATACAGTATGTATGTATGTACCTAACAAAAGAATACTGTACTTTAAAACAGATTAGGAACCCAAAATGCAAGGAAGTGTCTTAGAGAGGCAGAGGTTGGATAATCAGTAGCCAGGAAGCTCAAGATAATCAGTGTTTGCTGTCACTGTTCAATGTATGGCAAAGCGATGTTACTGAGTTAATATAAACATTTATACTGTACATAAAGGAAGGAATGTCATCTTTACTACACTCACAAGATGTGACTCAAATCAATAGTTAACAGCTCGATTTAAAGTGCCAATCCAGAAAATATGCGTACCCCATTTTTTGTCAGTTGAATCATCAACCAATATACTGAAACTTAATTTAACTTTTCAGCGGATTATTATTATAATCAAAACTAAGCTCTAAAACCACCAGGGCAATACAGCTCTGATTTTTTCACTTTAAGTAAGTGGCAACCTCTACTGTCAAAGCCAATCCAATAGTGTATGTACAAGTCATTAATATACTGTACAGTATAAGTGTTCTTTCAAAACTTTTAATATGTGAAGGTTAATGAAATGTTTAAGGTACTACTTGTGGCCACCCCTTCAGGAAAGTTCTAATTAACAATTAAAATATCAATGATATACATATGCACAAAAAATTTTTTATTATTTTAATTTTGTATGGCCTATACACATATGGAAAACAGTGACCTACTCACAGTACAAGGGATAAAATGAGACCTAACATCCACCTATTTTATTGGCTCTGTATCCACTACTCAAGACCTAGAGAGAATTATTATTATTATTATTATTATTATTAAATTATAGGGAAGTGCTAAACCTATTCAAGTCATACAGTGTCTGGGGAACACGAGGCAATCAGGAATGATCAGAGAACAAGGAAGGTAGTTTCACAGAAGCAGCAGTTACTAATACACTATAGTAAGTGAATAGGTAGAATTACTCAATAAGTGGAGCAATGATTAATACTTCCTGGGCAAGGTAAGAGTATGACCTTTAAAGACGATTATGTAAGATCTGAAGGATAAAAGGTCAAACTTTTCAATCACAGTTTTATGGGGGAACTGACCGTGTAAGGCGCTTGCCTAATATAAAAAGTTACATGAGCCTGCCAGCTAAGATAACAACATTTTTTACATGAATAGTGTTGCCAGCTGCATAGAGAAGATATACTCTTTCCTGGGAAATTTTTCATACACTAAATTTTCATAAATCATTTGAGTTTGAAAAATACAGGGACTACAGCTATAGCTGGCTGCACAAGTTTAAGAAGTCATGGTATTCATCAGGTTCAGTCATCTGGAAAAATAGCATCTGCAGATCATGTTGTTGCCAATAAATATTTGGATGAATTTACTCATGTGTAAGGAACTCTTAAGCAAATATATAATGCTGTTAAGAGCATTATTCTAGAGAGACAATGTACAAAATTCTCTTTTTTTTTTTTTGCTATGAGGAACTTATGGCTGAAATCAATGACAAAATTCTCCTTATGTTCCATCTTCCTTTTGCTACTACTCAATAATGAGACGACATACAAGTCACATCTTTTCAAAAACACATATGTGCAGAAGTCATCCCTTCAACCCTTTATCCTCTTCTTAAAATATATATTATAAAATATAAAATCTCTTTCTAAACACACTGAAATATAAACCCCTAACTGTCATTTACGAACTTTCTATCTATGCTCTGTACAACATTCTCTTCCACAATCCTTCCACTTGATTCCAAACACCAACACATGTATGGGTGTGATGCAGGGGTTTTAAATGTTACAGTGATGAGGAAGTAGTGAGGAGGAAGCAGGAGGCAAAGGAGATGTCATGTTTGAAGGCAATATGTGGTGTGAATATTATGCAGAGTATCTGGAGTTAGGAGATTAGGAGTATGCATGGGTTTTAAATGTTGCAGTGAGGAGGCAGGAGGCAATGGAGATGTCATGTTTGAGGGGCTATATGTGGTGTGAATATTGTGTATTGTATTCTGAATTAGGAGATTAGGAGATATGGAGTTACTGAGGTGGTTTGTTCATTTAGAAGAGGGAAAAAAAAAAAAAACGACTAGGAGGGCATATAAATCAGGTTGTGGAGGGAAGAAGGGATACAAGTCATCCTAATAAATATTGGAAGGAGGGGGTAAAGGAGGTTTTGAGTGCTAGGGTCTTGGACATCCAACAGGCTTGTATGAGCGTGTTAGATGTAAGTGAATGGAGGAAAGCGGATTTTATAATCTTAAGTGTTGAAGTGTGAGCATGGTAACTTTTGTGAAGGGATTCAAGAAAACCAGTTAGCCAGGCTCGAGTTCTGGAGGTGGGAAGTACAGTGCCTGCACAGTGAAAAAGGGATCATCTAAACTGTCATATCAGCACTCTTCTGGCAGACAGTGATTGAATGAATGACAGTGAAAGTGTTGTCCTCTTTGTCAGGTCACCCTACATCAGTGGAAGATAGCCAATGTGGTAAAAAACTAATAATACAGTAATAGCATAATCCAATTATGTACTGAACCTACATTGGTCATACAGCACTGACCCAAAATCCCTAATAACTTGCTTAATACCTCCCAAAAAATCCCTCTCCTCTTAGGTTATACGAAAATCATCTTCTTTCTCACAACCCATTTTTTTCTAACACCAGAATGAATTTAAATATTTATTCCTGCTCTCTCATTTCTAAGTGTTAATTTATTATCATTACAATCCTTCAATTCTCATTCTCTAAGACACGTCTGATTTAATTCCCTTCACATTTATCCACAGGATTAAACTACAAACTGAAAATTGCTGTAAAGTGAATCATAGCCTTTTTTTTAACTTTCAAATGCATGTAAAAGCCTGATAACATGTTTACACTATCATATATTAAGTGAACAATAGTGCTAGGTCTAAAAAATGCATCTACAGGACACATTACTTACCTTAAAATATTTTCATATCTAGCTTATAGTGAGTGGTGAATATATTTTTTGTAGGAAGTCTGAATCAAGAATGGGTATAACTGAAAACCATTGTATTAATGAAATGCTGTAAAATGGAGCATGCCTGTATATTATAGTGCACTATGCATATTTAGTAAGGTTAGGGCAGGAGGCAAAGTCACATTCTAAGGCAAAATTTATAATCTACATGCCAGGTTATTGTTACACTCACTGGGAGGGGGGCCACTAAACTCTCAGTGGTCATAAAGCACCTGGAAAAATGGAAAGCAATCAAGTTCAATCCAAGGAAAGGGAGGTCAAGTTCAATTCCTTAGATTAAGAGCACATCAGCAATCTCAAGGCACCATCTTGGAGAGGTGCCTTAATACTTTTGAGTGTATGTATATACTGTATATCAATACATGCCTAATATAACTCAACTTGTTTGATTGACTTGTCATAGTAGACATGACTTACTGTTTTATACATATTACAGAAATACATAGTACAAAGCAGTTATTTGTAATAAGAGACATTTTTTAGGCTAAAAATCAAGGAATTATTTCAATATTTATTTGTCTGTGTTTCGGTGACAAATTTCACCATCGTCAGGACTGTAATAGAATGTATAATGTAAAATTACTGATACAGAATTTACAAATTTATAATTTATTATTAATACAGTACATTACAAATGTAAATAAAAATAACGTATATGAAGTTATTAAACTCAGCAGTTTCAAACATGCGACGATATACTGCCACGACCTCAACAAGGTCAACAAAAGACTTTGATAACATGTTTCTACATACAATGAAATAGATCTGCCTAAAATTAGAACTCTAAAAAGACATAAAAACAAAAAAAGTGAAATAGCAATTCCATTTTACTATTTAGTATACGGTATAAATTAAAAGATGTCAGATATATTAAACTCTGGTTTGCTGACACTCACAGGTAAAATTACCATATTCAAATTCTAAGGTAAAAGTTTTGATAAGATATATTACTGCAAAATTTTTCAACAATAATTTGTCCTTTTTCCCCACATTCATTATTACCTAGTCCCACTCCCCCAAAGAAATATAAACAGGTTTCCATAAGATACTCTAGTATATTCAGTAATTCTAATTCTCATATTGCAGGAAGTACTGCCCCAAATCCAACAAAAGCAATAGGGGCTTTATTTGTCAATACCGTTGATATACTATCATTACTGTCATTAGTCAGTTATGACGGTTGGTGGAGCTGTGTCCCCTATGACTCCTCAGAATCACATCGTCTGCATTCGGCCAGCAGTAACAGTCTAGTTGATCAGACCCTGATCCACCACAAGGCCTGGTCTCAGACCGAGCCGCGGGGGCGTTGACCCCCAAAACCCTCTCTAGGTATACTTCAGGTATGCCTGAGTGGCCGCTGCTCAGTTGAATAGCTGCTACTGCTGGAAGCAAGATGTAGCTTGGCAGATCATTATCTTTCTCCACATTATACACTACCAGAGGAAGTGTCAGTATTATTCCAACCCTCCATCACTTCCCACCAAACCCACAACATACATACATGTATTTATAAAAA